AATACTTGTATGTTTGTATGTTCAAGTTAAGTGAAATTCAGTTTTTTTTCATATATTGTTTTGAGAAACAAAGATATATTTTTGCAATATAAATTCCAGTCTGCAAGGTATTTTAAAATTAGGTAAGACCGTTATTAGTGTCCAAAGGAGGATCGAATCATTTCAAATTTAATTAGAACAGATAGAAATTGATTTAAAAAATACGCAAAAAGGTAAAAACAGAAGGTGCAGATAAATTCCCTGAGAAAATGGAAAAATTAATAAAGAAAGAAATAAAATTAATAAATAATAAATAAAATACATGTATGAAAAAAAAATCAGAGCTGAAAGAAGAGATATAAAGGAATGTCTTAAAGATCTATTAAATAACTTTCTGTTGTGGCATTTTTTTTTTCCTTAAATATCAAAACAAACTTGACCACTTTCATATTCCATGGGCATTTAAATCTCAAGATATATGTATTAGATTACTTAGAGTGAAAGAACGGGGAAGTTTAAATCATGGCGACAATATGGACACTCATGTTTATGTCCGGCATTTTGTTGACCGATTCTCAGTATATCGATTTATCTGAAAAAGATGACTGTAAAAGTAATGAAATGTATAAAAAGGTAATGGAGGAAATTCAAACGCTTCGGCGACTGCAGATTAAGCTTCAACTTGAAGTAGATGAGCTTCGTCAGAATGACAAGGAAATCAGATATGTGTTGATCAACAGTAATTTAACAAGTATGTATGGTATTAATATTTTATTTCAGACTAATTAAGTTCTTGATATTTTTTGGCAATAGTACTACATGTACAACATAGGATTCCTTAATTATTATGTTTTGACACTGCGTCTAAACCTTTAGAGAAAAAAAAATGACATTAAGGTTAGAATCTCTTTAAATGTCGGCAATTCTTTCTGCACTAGACTAAATCCTAAATTCAGAGGTTATTCTCCGTGGTTTTAAAGTACACTTGTCCCCCTTTTTTGTATACTAATGTGTGCTAAATAACTAGAACCATTACTACCTTAGTTTGGACTTTCGGTTTCACCCCCCAGGTCAAGTGTTCCTCAGTCCCACAGTTCCACTCATTTAAAAAATACAATTATAATGATTTTGAAATTAGCAGTACAGAAATATTCAAAGTTATAGTACAATATAAACAAATGCTCTTTTGATATACAGACAGAAAGATAAGGAAATTACATGTAAGCCAACCTGATGAATATTCGTTACGATATTATAGAGCGTGTATAATATATTTCCCTAAACCAACCAAAGTAGATATGCGGTTTGTACCTAATAATTGGATTAATTTAAATGTACTTGGCGATTTGTAATAATATTCATTTATATATTTCTTTCTTAGATTTAGATATCTAGGACATTGGAGAATGAAATGAAATTCGTCTTTTATTTGATGACTACCACAAACATCGCATATTCTATCATTTCTGCTCTTGCCTTGGCACCTTCCGTATTCTATGTTTAGATAGTGCAATGAAAGTCTGATGCGGGAAATATGCTTTTTTAAATTACTTTGTAGAGGTTTTGTTAAATAAGAGTGCATTTTACAGAAGTCAGATTGGACAATGTGCTTATATAAAAAACATTTTGACGAATTATCCATAAATGCATTGCACTCTTGGAGGTGTATATCTAGTATTCTGTTTTTATATATACTGTAAAAGCACAAATATTCGTGGGGGATTAAATTTCGTTTATTTCGTTGTTAACAAAATTCAACGAAATTAAATCCCACACGAAATTTTATATGACTATATATTGAATAGGGTTAGTTTTAAAACAACGAAATTAAATGCACACAAAATTATTTTTGATAACAAAACGACGAAATTTTGTGCCCACGAAAATTTGTGCTTCTACAGTATGCATGAAATTAGCAAAGTTTATTACTTGTTGATTCATCCAAAATTCTCCCAGACCCAACCTAAATAATTCAAGCTTTACGTCACGTGCCCAGTTTATACTTGTACTTGTTCCCGACCCATTCTCTGCATCATGTCGCAGGTATTCGTAGGAAGATTTTAAAATGCAGTTTTCTGTTTATAATAGTTTACACCAGAACTTCATGATTCTTAGTTTTCTTTGAATAATAAGTGGATATCGTCCTAATTCTCTATAAATCATATAAGTGCATGCATTGCACTTAACACCGAGAGTAATTTTACAAAAGGATAAATGCAGTCTTTGAATTTCTTGAGATTTCTGAAAACCCCAGATTTCACTACCATACGATAAAACGCTGCCAACATATGTATTAAAGAGCTGACAGCGGCTTTCGGCGTTAAATTCAAATTTCTGAATATTACGGTTATAACCAAATAGAGCTTTTTGACCTTGTTCAGCTAATTTATTTTGCGTAACATTAAATTTGCCGTTGTAGTTTAACATAATTCAAGGTAATGAAAAGAATTGACAATTTCTAAAACTTCATTATTATACGTCCATGAGAAATTAACGCTCCTCTCTTTCCTGAATGCTAAAATTTTGGTTTTTGCGGTGTTAACGGTCAAATTCCACGATGATACGTATCCCTGTAAAGCATCAAGCAAGTTCTGCTACTCTTCTGGTGAGTTAGAGAATATTACTCTGTCATCTGCGAACATTAAAACAAAAAGATTTAATTCTCTTAATTCTACGGATGGGCATTTAGCGTTTATGAAATGATTTTCCAAGTCGTTAACGTACATATTGAATAATATTGGTGATAATACTTCCCCCTGCAACAACCCGGTATTTACAGGGAATTCTTCTGATATCTCTCCTGCATTTTTGACACAGGCGCGTACATCAACATAAAGCGATCGGATAATTCGAAGGAATTTCCCGGTGATTCCCAATTTGTTCAATTTATACCATAATTTTTCCCGGTTGATTGTATCAAATGCCTTTTTATAGTCAATAGAACAGCAATATAAACGTTGTTTATTATTCAACTTTTGTGATATTAAACTTTGAAGCGCAAATATCGCGTCAGTAGTTGATCGCCCAGCCTGAAATCCAAATTGTGCATCAGTTTTAATATTTTCTGAGATGTTCCATTTCATTATTCTTTCGTTAAGAATTGAAGTAAAAAGTTTTCCCAGACTGCTTGTGATGCTGATGCCTCTGTAGTTCCCAGGGTCATCAGTTTTTCCTTTTTTATATATTGGAATAATAGTTGCTTTCGACCACGAAGAAGGAAATATACCGGAATTAAATATTTTATTAAATAGGGTCATTAAAATAGGGAGAATTATGTCACTGAACTCGGAAAAGTATTCATTAATTAAATTATCATTTCCCGCGCTTTTGCTTGTTTTAAGTCTGCGTATGCAGGTTTCAACCTCTTTTGAAGTAATTTCAGTGTCCAAGAGCTCAAATACAGGGCTATCGATGTCCGTGTAATTTGCAATAGAAATGTACGTAGTCGCTGAATCAGTGGCAAGGTTTCGAAAGTGTTCAAAATATTCTGATAAGGTAACTTTTGAGTTTGATGTCTTTCGTTTGCTAAAATGTTTAAAGAATTCTTTAGGGTTATTTTTCTTCAGCTGTTGCACCATATCACCTTGTTGTCTTTTGTATTGATTTTTAAGTTTCTTCTGAAGTCTTTTGTATTTACTTTTTGATTTAGTAATTTTATTGTAGTTTATTTTACTATGAAAGTTATTATATTCTTCTAAAGCAGATGAATATTGGTTGTATAAGACTGTGCATTTGTGATTGAACCATGGTCTATCCTCTGCATTTCTTACTTTTGGACACGTTTAATTGCTACTCTTTGTGCAAAACTTCCCTAATACACTGCTTAATTTTTCACTAAAGTTATCAACAATTTGGTTGACATCGAAGTCATCTTCAACACAAGAATATAGAGCGTCTAAGTTGTTTATAAGATCTCGTCTCATTTGAATTTGGGATTGTTCTTGCCATCTCACTGTGGTAGAACTTTGGGCACTTGGACGGTTCGAAGTTCTGGAATTGTTTGTCTGTTTTTGATACCCTAAGATGCATGGAAATGAAAAATTGATTGGTGTATGATCTGAGAATTCGGTTAAGTTACAAACCTTGAAATTCGAGATATTGTTGAATGAATTTGTAAAAATAGATCAACGACAGATCGCCCATTTGGACCACAATAGGCATAGTTTCCGTTTGAGTCGGACAGATGTCGTCCGTTAACTATGCAAATATTTAAAGATTTACATATGCTAATAAGCCTTCTACCAAATGTGTTTATTTTATTATCCATTGTTAATATTGGATTAAGTTCAATATCAGGTACATTGTATATAAGTCAACACTTCTGAGATATGATCATTAATTTCGGAGTGTAGGGTATCGCTTCAATATAATCTAATAATGATCCAGTTCTTGCATGGAAATCGCCAGTAATTATAATATTACCCATTTCTGTATATTTTGTAATACATTTGTCAAGCGTAGTAAACAAATCACAATTGTAAATATCATGAAATTTTGAAGCAATGGGTGGTATATAAACTGCCCCAATGTACAAATCTTTCTTATCCCAACAAATGACTTCATCTATTTTTATCCAAACAATGGTATCATGAAATATTACATCTATTTTAATAAATTGATCAAGCGAGTCCTTAACTAGAATAACTATTCCTTCGCCCTGTGTGCGATTTCTGACACTTTTTTTCTATGAAATGCATGAACACAATAACCACTAAGGGATATATTGGAGTGCTCCGTTATATCCAGCATTCAAGAAGTATGCAAATATAGTAATCAAATAGGCAAGATTGGAATTTGTTGTCACTTAGTTTATTTTCCAGTCCCCATTTACCTATACAAGCCATACATGTACCAGTGGTGCAGCGAAGCGTGAAAAACAAAGAGAACTCCTGGGACTCTCAACAAAACCACAAATTCAATATTTTTTCTCTCTGTTCGAACACTTGACCACCATGACCACTTCATATATGTATATGTATTTCAGATACTCTCCCTTATAATAAAGTTCCCTTTTTTATTTAAGGTATTCGAACTCCCATGGATTGTTCAGAAATTTACAAAAGTGGGCAAAGGAAGACTGGAGTTTACCAGATTTACCCATTTGGTGAAACCAACAAAGCTGTTAATGTGATGTGTGATATGGATTCACTAGGAGGAGGGTGGACGGTATATTGATTTATTGATTGTTTGTAGTTTGACGTCTATCTTGAGAATATTTTACTCATATGGAGAGCTGCAAATTTTGTCCTTTACTCGGCACTCAGGCCCATGAGCAGGAGGGATCTTTATCCTGCCAGTACCTACTGCAATGCAGGACCACAATTTATATTGTCTCATCCGAAGGACTAGTCTCTACATCCTACTGTGGGAATCGAACCTACGGCGTAAGGATCAACTCCTTACTCCGTGACTCTAGAGCAAACACTATGAGCACTGCGATACGTAAGAGCGCGACGTGAACGGTGTATAGTCCAAGCGTATCTCTGATTCATGATGCATCCTATAGTGTATAATTTATGCCCAGCACTACCCTAACAAAAAATTCTTTAGTAAACTATAGTTATCGAAAGTTTACTATAGTTAACTATAGCAGCATAGTTAAAACGTTGGAGCTTTGATTTACTATGGTGAAAACTTTGGAACTTTGATTTTCGAAAGTAAAAACTTTCAAACCAAGATACTGTTTCACCGTAGACATATGTAAGATAAAGATCCCTCACAGCTACAGTCAAGTGTCATACATAAGCCAAAATTTGAAGTCCATTCATTGGCAAACGGTGCCAACTCTCTATAGGTGAAAAAAACTGGAAACACTAAACTTTACAACATCATTAATCAATCCATCCGTTAATACAATGCCTAGAGTGTTCTAAGACCCTAATATATCTTTCCCAAGTGTTGTATTTTATTAACGTTAAAAGACAGAGAACCTATGTTCTTGGATTAAAAGTGAACTATTCTTAACAACCAAATTGTTTCAATAGCCTAGAGGTAGAATGTGAAACGGGAGGTCTCGTAAAGCGTCAAACCTAAGATATAATCAATGGCAATTATCTTCTTTGTCAAGCATCTGACATGAGATCCGAAATTCACAGTCTTTCGGATGAACTGATATTACGTATATGTGTCACGATAGGCTTTGGCACTATAAAGAACTCTCTAAGGTCAGTTGCCATATTCATATAGATTTTTTTCTCTCAATATTTTAGGTTATACAGAACAGACATCGAGAAAAACCAAAAGTAAATTTCAACACTACTTGGAATAAATATAAAAGTGGTTTTGGAGATATACAAGGGAATTATTGGCTTGGTAAGAAAATAAGGCTATAAGACAAATGCATGTAAATGATACATAGTACATAGTCAGTGTATTAACGCAAGCGAGATAACCTTGAGACACAAAAGGATTTATCTTCTGCTCTATTCAAACATACTTCTGATTGTATTTAGATGCATATTTTTAAGAAAGTAATATAATCATAAAGAGATAAAAAATAATTTATGGACAATAGGTAACAGGCATATCTTACATGTCTATTTAAGTATTTGTCGGGAGAAGCACAAACGACACATGTTCATAATAATTATTACAATTCTCTCTTTTTAGCATTTGAATTTTATCATGAAATTTGACTTGTCGGTAGCAAAAAAGATTCATATAATGTTGAGATGAGGTATATATGCTTTTATCTGACATATATACAGAAGTTTCTGGTTATGCGAACTAACGTCTTCGACAAAAATTAGATGATATAAATAGTTTATTTCGGTCCATAAAGTATATGTTATGTTTATCCGGCTTATACTTTTGTATAAAACTCAGCCTTAAAAAACGGGGTTGGGTCACATTAAATTGAAAATAAATTAAATCATGCTTTTTGAATATAAAAAAAGAATAGCAATACAAAGCCTTTTCTCTTTAAAGGAAATGAGGCCATTCATAAATTGACCACTAAATTCCAAACGGATTTGTACATACGAATCACTAATACCAGAAACCAGTCATTTGAATTAAGATATACTTCGTTCTCCATCTCCGATGAAGCTGACGGTTATAGGCTTTCTTTGGGTAACAAATCAGGACGCATAAGTGAGTATTTACCCTAAAGTTTTCTTCAAAGATAATGCTTTAGTATATATTCTAAAAAAAAGGAACAGAAAATCGGCACACATTAGTTCATGAATTTTATAATATCAAAATTATAAAATTCGCAACCACATATGTATTTACAATTATTAAGAATAGAAAATTTATTTTTAAAAACAATTCTTCTTAACAATACACACTTCTTATGTTTTACATTATTCTACTTTTTCGCATCGTGGATAATGCATTTAGACATTACAATGTCCTTGGTCAGCCCTTTCTACCCACAAATTATGCGTTTTCGTTTATAGCTGTCTTACCTGTTTTATATTGTAGATAATGCATTTCGATATTATGATGTCCTCAGACAACACTTTTCTACCTTAAAATTAATACCTATTTGTTTTAAACTATCTTTTCTACCTTCCGAATTATGGATGACGCATTTAGAGATTACAACGTCCATTCAACTCTTTTCTACCTATATATTTAAACCCTTTTAGTTTTAGGCTTTCTTTCCTTTTTGCATTGTAGGTGACGCTATAAAGGATTACAATGTCCTGGGCCAGCCGTTTTCTACATTTGACATGGACAACAATCACAGATGTGGCGCTCTCTGCGGGGCCGGGTGGTGGTTTAATTACTGTACGTGGTCCAATCTTAATGCGCCTTTTTTTGAAGATCATTCAGATCCAGTCTGGCACCCAGTGATATCTCATGGACGATTTCTTTATCATTCACAGATGTTGATTAGAAGATACTAAAACAAAGAGATCAGTTCACTTGATGCATAAAACTGTCCTGTAGATATACCAATTTATTGACTTTATGTTCAGCTTAAAACTTAAAAATGAAGTATAGACGTATAACTTTCATTTCATATTAAATTATTTCTCCTTAGACTCCAAGTCTTGGAACACGGGTTTTATGGAATTTCAATGTTCTTGCAATTTTAGTTTCAATAGGTATATTTTAGTCCGTTCGGACACAAAAAATAATATGAGCGCACCCTCTGATCTAAAAATTAATCACCATCTTCATTTACTAGTTGCTTATTTTAGATCAGAGGTTGCGCTATAGATTAAATTGGGGCAGTAAGTCTCTTTAGAAGTTTTAGTACAGAAGGGGGGTCTGTATTTCCTAAAATTGGACGTCATACTAAGGCAGGCGGTTGGTGTGCCTATTAAATATAATATCAGCTTGGGAACAAGGGTGTCAGCTGCTTCAGTCTCATGTTTGTAATTTAGGAACACTGCAAGTTTTATATCAACTTGGGGACAAGGGCCTCAGTTGGTCTATATTAGTATGTATACTAAGGTTGTTCATGTTACAACACTGAGAGTTTCATATCAGCTTGGGGACAAGGGCCTCAGTTGGTCTATATATGCATGCTGTTCCTGATAGAATACTTAGTTTCATATCAGCTTGGGGACAAGGGCCTCAGCTGATGTGCTCTTTACATGTATAGGACATAGGTGACATTACATTTATAGCATTTTGGGGACAAGGGCCTCAAATGTTAGGTACTGTATTTTATGCCGGAGTTTATGTAATAATTTACCATTTAATTTTCTTCAATGAATGTTTTAGAGGATTGAAAATAATATACCGGTATGATAATTGTAGTGGGAGTTTTTTATGTTGTGGATGGGGGATATTGTGTGTCTTTCACAAAAATCACTAGATTTGGTTTAATACACACAATATGGTGGCGGTTTTTCCCCCCATCTTTGATGGTTGTAGCATTTTTTCACATTATCTAATCATTTTTAAAGTGTTTAAATTTGAAGGTGATGTGTATATGGTTGCTTTTAATTCTAATCTGTCACATATGTTATATTTGTGATCATACATTTTATCATACCCGATTATAATTATGGAGAAGTGTGATTATGATTTTGACACTTCTTGGAACTGATCTGTTATTACTGATTAGCTAGACTGACTGATTGTGATTGATTAAATCAATTGATTGTGAATTTTGATTTTGAATTGTATGATTATGAATTATGGATCTGACTAATTATGATTGATTAGATTGATTGTGAGTTTTGTCTTCGTCATTTTAATAAATGACAACTTTCAATTCAATACATTCTCTATTGTTTATTCTATCAACCATCAAACAAAGCACAACATACAGAATTGTGCCATAAAAGCACATTTATATTTTATAAATAATTTTATGGCACATCTTAGTAGTAAAAGGGGGATAACTCTAACATTACACTTCACAGAAATGTAGGTTGGCTAACTTGGTATGAATTGACGCATAGCGCGCACCTCCGGAAATACGTCATAAAAAACCCAAGCAAGGGCTCCATGCAGAATCCACATGTACTTTTGACTTGATTTTACAAAAACTTAACCCACCCTTCCCCTTTTTGGTATTTATTTTAATACAGATAGCCTTTTAGCCAATGTCAAAGGTTTATGAATAGGTTTTTCCCCCCATCTTTGATGGTTGTAGCATTTTTTCACATTATCTAATCATTTCTAAAAGTGTTTAACTTTGAAGTTGATGTGTATATGGTTGCTTTTAATTCTAATCTGTCACATATGTTATATTTGTGATCATACATTTTATCATACCCGATTATGATTATGGAGAAGTGTGATTATGATTTTGACACTTCTTGGAACTGATCTGTTATTACTGATTAGCTAGATTGACTGATTGTGATTGATTATATCAATTGATTGTGAATTTTGATTTTGAATTGTATGATTATGAATTATGGATCTGACTGATTATGATTGATTAGATTGATTGTGAGTTTTGTCTTCGTCATTTTAATAAATGACAACTTTCAATTCAATTCATTCTCTATTGTTTATTCTATCAACCATCAAACAAAGCACAACATACAGAATTGTGCCATAAATAGCTTTAAAAATTTGCTTTTTGTACACTTTTTCAGAATATGAGGAAATTGACGCATTAAGTGACGTAATTATGCATTAACTTACCAGAAAGTTACTTCATTTTCGACTTCCAATTACCAAAGGTTTAAATGATATTCAAAGCAGTGTTAACTTAAATTAAACATTTTCAGTTTTTCAGATATTCACAGGACTAAGAAAGGCAAAAAGTGAACCGTGTTATTTTTTTGAAGTATTGATTTCAGGTTAAAAAAAAACAGCATAATTTTTTAATAACATGTTGATATACTTTCTTTTGAAATTTTTGTTATTTCGTTTTTGTAAAGAGAGAACCTTACACCGATGAAAGTGTCAAGTTATGATTTTTACTCGGTACACATTGCTAATGGTCATTCAGTGCTCTTTAACACTACAAAGCCTGTCGTGATACGGGGTTTTAGATTTAAAAGTCTCCTCCAAGTAGGATATGGAGATAATGAACAGTATTCAAACTGAAAAGTCCATTAAGCACAACAAAGTTTGGAGCAGAGTAAACACGGACCTTTAAAACATCAGAGGTGGGATCAGGTGCCATGCAGGAGTGAGCATCCCTGCTGACCTGCCACGCCCGCCGTGTGCTCCTTGTCATGATCGAGAAATAATGGAAAAAATCTGTCATCAATTCAGTGTATGAATAATGGACTAACAATTAGTACAAAAACGTCAGTCAGCATTTGACTCAATAATAAATCATATTGATGTATACTTATGCTTATAGGCAAGCTCACCGCAGCTTATTTTTGCTAATTTTGAATAAGTCAATTAAAACACTTTCATAGAGATGAATATTGTAATTTATTAAAATGACGGTATAAATATGAACAATTTAACAAACAAGATTGGGATCAGATTCACAAGCTTTGATTATCAGTTAATACGTAATATATGCCGTTTGTTTATTGTTAATCAACGTACAATGTGATCTTTTTATAAAATTTAATAATTCCCTCATACTGGAGTTTAAAAGGCTCATTGTTTGAAAAACCATGTTCATATGTTTCTGTCAAACTTTCTAATTTACTGAAGAATTTGTTATGTCATTTCCTGCCTTATATTAAAATAAATCTATAACAAGATCATTTCTAAGACACTTTTCAGATTTATCAGTTCTATTTTGAGAACAATAATAATATTTGATCCTTGATGCGATTGCATTCAGTTTGTTGTTCTAAAGGGAAAGGGCTGATAAAAATAATTTGTTTTTTGTGTATGAAGTCTGTTTCTTGCATTTACATTTTATGTTAATACAGAAAATAAATGTAGAGTATTATTTAAATACGAGGGTCATTCAAAAAATACATAGACAATGCTTCTCATCGTCATATGATTATTACAAGATTATAGATCAACACATTTTCGTAAACATAAACATTTATTTTGTCGAAGTGTGGAGTTTCATTCCATTTGATTAAACAGAACTCACGTTAGCCAAAATTAAAAGCAACATGTTTTGTTACCACGGAGCACGGTTACCCAATATTGTAACGTCAAAAACAACGCTGAGAAAGTTTGTCAAAAGTATACACATTTTTGTTATTTCAAACACGGTTTGTTGCGTCTTCTCCATTCAAAACACATATCCACAATACTTAACACCTGGTTTGCTAACAATTGTACAAATATAGCTTGAATTAGAATGTTAGTGTTTTCAAATTCTTTGATTTACAATGCAACTTTATTATTTCTGCAACATTGAAGCCCACATCAGGTTCAATGACGATCCTAACTCTTTTGACAATATTTTTAACTTTAACTTGTTTCTTTGCAGACAATCCATTATCCAATTCAAACTTGCTACCACTCAAAAATTGTATTTTCAACTTAATATAAATACACAGATTTTTTTTTCATACAGATCCTGATTAATAAGGATTTTTTAAGTTTGTAGAAAACGTTTCCCGAATGTAAAGTCTAATAATATTGCTACTTGCTGCTCCGTGACGTCCTCCAACGTCATGGTCTTTTGCCTTTTTTAATCAAGTCCATATGTATTTAGAAGCTGATATCTTTTACATGGATCAAGTTATTACATAACCTGATTTCATTTTATTTAATACAGCAATACTTTTTTTTAAACATGTAAATTTTATTTCGTTTCAGCTCCATTTATTAGAGGTATAGCTGTAAATACTACAAAGTGAAAATTAGAAAATTACTCAATTCTGACGATGCTCCGTGACCCCATTTTTGCTGTTCTAAATCATTGGTAATTTTAATAAATATGAGGATACATTCCAATTTTTTTACTCAAATTATTTGAATCTGTTGTTAAAATATTTGTACCAATTTTGGATATAATATGACATTAAATAAAAAAGTTAGGACAAAATTCTACGAACTTTTTGAATGACCCTCGTATATGTTTGTAAATATTCAAACGGTAAAACTTCCAGCTATTACGGATATCTTATTTTCGTCAAGGCTCATTTTATTAAATTCTTTGTTTATGAAATACTTATCTTAAGTTCAGGTATCTAATTTCATACAGGCTCATGGAATATATTCAGCCAAACTCAATATTTCTAACACAGTGGGGGAAAATGTAGATATTGAGTTAAAAACCAATATGAAAAATTAGAATTAATTTGACATTCAATTTCTTGTATATTATCAAAAGTATTCGAAAATTATGTAGTTTGAGATACTGAAGTTAAATTGTACACTATATGTTATTATGAAACTGTTCATGTTTTAAACATGTATTTTCTATATCATACATTTTAATTGTAAAGCAATGTGTTCACTAGATAATATTATTTATATTTCATAATTTTCAATCTTTTAGTCATATCTTTTAATGTACTTTATCTGTAGGTTTTTGGTAGTTTTTTTATATTTGCGTTGAAAAAGAGAGCTTTATGATTTGTGTACAAAAGTTGCTTTACATACAAATCTAACTCGTTTTCTCTTATTTGCTTTTTTATATTGAGAGATTTAGATGGATATTTGACAAATAACAATTACAGACGCATGTTCAATAGCTGAAATACCCTTGGCTATTATGGCGTTACAATAGAAGCCATTACCTAAATACTATTTTCAAATAGTAAACAAAATCAAATGTGAAAGTAAGTTGTCCTTA